GTGGGTACTGTGGATTCGAACTCAGGTCCTCTTGCTTTCACAATGAATGATCTTACCCACTAGCCATGTCCCCAGCTTCCAGGATCACTTTTGTGTGTGTGTTTAAAAAAAAAAAAAAAAAAAAAAAAAAAAAGCCGGGCGGTGGTGGCATACATCTTTAGTCCCAGCACTCAGGTGGATCTCTGAGTCTGAGGCCAGCCCCATCTACAGAGTGAGTTCCAGAACAGCCAGGGCTACAGAGAAACTGTCTCAAAAGTAAAATAAAATAAATAAACAACAACAACAAACCAACCCCAATTCCCCATTTTTGACAGATTCCCCAAGGGGTCTGAAGTCCTAGGAAGACAGGAGAATGGGAACGAGAGGAAAGGAATATTCGGAGGAGACACTTTTTACCTCAGTTTCCTCATAGGAACCAGGAAGAGCGAGCTTCCTGTCCCACTTACCCTGTGGACCTATGCAGTGGAATTCTAAGAATCAGAGGATTCTGTGATTGGGGGAAGGGGAGTAGTGGCCAGGTGTCAGGCAGGGAAGAGGAAAGGTCCGTCTGTCAGTCTGCCTGCCTGCTGGCCTGCCTGTCTGTCTGTCAGAACCTCCCTGCCCCATGCCTAGCATCCCTATGACTCAGGTAGGCTGAGGACAGGGTGGATACCAGACTCTGTTCCCTGGGAGGAAATTGGCAATAGGAAGTTCATTTCCGTTGGCTGCTAGGAACGTCTTTGCTGCCTGTGTACCCGTTCCAGCCTCAGCAGGGACCTGGGGCCATGGGGGGAGGTGGGGGATGGGAGGGCCATTCAGGGGACATTCAGCTCTCCCTCAAGGGCTTTTATTTGGGTGATGAGAATCTGAATGCAGGTCCTCACTTTGCACGCACCTGGTCACATCCCCAGTCCATTACTTTGTCTTTGCACTTTGAGACAGGGTCTCATTTACCCCAGGCTGACCTCTTGGGGTTCCAGGCTGGCCCAAAGGACTGGCTTAAGAAGTACTGGGGATTTGACTTAGGGCTTCCTGCATGCTGGGTGAATATTTCGTCAGCCAAGCTAAATGACTAGACCTCGTGTGTGTGTGTGTGTGTGTGTGTGTGGTCATGGGAATTGAACTCATACATGCTAGAGAAGCACTCTACTGTTGAGCCATGGCCCCTGACAGCCACTGTTAGACTCAGGGTACGCATTCTATCATTACCAGGCACAAATACTGCACAATTGACTGACAATTCCTTAGTTTTTCAAAGATGCCCATGTACAATGTGATTAAAATAAAGACTGTACCTGTCTTTTGAAGAAATTAGGGCTTCTAGAGGAAAAGAATTCCCTTGATGTCACAAGAGGAAGGAGGGACAGATGGAGAGAGAGAGAGATGGAACAGAGGGTGAGAGGTTTAGGGCTAAGACTTGGACACCTTTGATCCCAGCACTCGGGAGGCAGAGGCAGGCGGATCTCTGTGAGTTCGAGACCAACCTGGTCTACAGAGCGAGTTCCAGGACAGGCTCCAAAGCAATGCAGAGAAACCCTGTCTAGGAAAAAAAAGGAAGGAAAGAAGGAAGAAAGGAAGGAAGGGAGGGAGGAAGAAGGAAGGAAAGGAGGAAGGAAGAAGGGAGGAAGGAGAAAGGGAGGGAGGGAGGGATGGAGGAAGAGAGGAAGGAAGGAAGGACAACAACAAAAACAAACAACTTGGCCTAGGTGGGAGGTTTTGATTGGTGGTAGGAGTACGGGCTCCCATTGGTCTATCCAGAAACAAACCCCTCCCGTTCCATCTCCAAGGCACCCCTAAGTTTTCAGCTTGGTGGTGGGGATGATAGGTGTGTAAGGACCCCCACAGGGGGATGACCTTAGGGATCAGGACACAGCCTGACCTTTCCAAGTCAGTTAGGGAGCAGATGGGTCCTGCCCTTTAATCTCCTTCCAGCATGCAGCCTCTTCCCCTGGGTGTCCCCAGGGCTTGCTGATGCCTGGGGTCTAGTGTGGGAAGAGGAGAGGGAAAGCCATGATGGGAGAAGGGCTGGCCAGGGTGTACACCTCTCCCAGCCTCTAAAGACTTTCGTACCCAGGCATTTATTGAGCACTACTGTAGGCAAGGCCAGTTCTTCACACAGTCCATAAAACACTCAAGGTTCCTGTCCCCCAGAAGCTCTAGGCAGACACAAGAGCTGTGAAGAGATGGTTGTGAGGGTGGTGGAGACTTCTGAAGTAGTGAAGAAGGGAGGGGCAAGGGTCAGTCAGGGAGAGAGTGTGGAGGTATCGGGACTGGACTGGAGGAAGCTCATTGAGCAGGTAGAACCTTGCATATACTAGTCAAGTATTTTACCATTGATCCCCACTGGGGGATTCTAGGCAGGGGCTCTACCACAGAGCCACGCCCCCAACCCCTCACTGGGGGATTCTAGGCAGGGAGCCATGCCCCCAGCTTCTTAGAAGCCTTTGAAGATTCATGAAGGAAAGAAAAGGCTGATTCCCTTAACAAGGTCTTCCTGGCCACCTTGGGAAGTGAATTGAGGGAGGCGGAGTTGGCAAAACGGATGCTCCCAGGCTCCTGAGCAGTGAGCAAGGGGTTGGAGAGCCAGGCATGGATTTAGAGTCCATCTGGAGGCAGAGCAGGAAGGACTTTCCTTGGAAAAAAGAAAGACTCAGGCTTCCGGGAATTTGCTGTGTGAATCCAGGTTCATTCCTTCCCCTCAGGAGACTACAGTTTCCTCATCTGTCCCAGTAGACTTACCCGGTTTCTCTCTGTGTCTGTCTGTCTGTCTGTCTGTCTGTGTCCTTCCCTCCCCCGCCTCTTTTGTGGACTTGAGGTGAGTGCTTTGTGCTCAGGTGCATATGTGGAGGAGAACTTCTGGGAGTCCGTTCTCTTGCCATGTGGGTACTGGGAACGAAACTCGGGTCGTGAGGCTTAGCCGCAAGCACCTTTCCTGATGTCTGCCATCTCACTGGCCCCTCAGACGGCGGTTCTCAAGTGCGTCTTGGGAATTTTTTAGAGGCGGTTTTCCAGCCTCCGCATCATTCCACGCAGACCACACAGTACCTGTCTTCCCACTGTCCTTGATGGGATTTCTAAGTGTGATCTTGTTTGTATGGTTTTCTTTCCTTTTTTTTCAAGAGAGGCTCCGTGTAGCCCTGGCTGTCCTGGAACGCGCTCTGTAGACCAGGCTGGCCTCGAACTCAGAGATCTGCCTGCCTCTGCCTCCCAAGTTTAAAAATGCTTGTGAAGCTGGTCCTGGTGATGCTCACCTATAGTCCCAGCACTCAGGAGGCAGAAGCAGAGATGCTCGCATGTTTCAGGCCAGCCTGGGCTACATACACTGTAAGACCGAATTTCAAACAATCCAATAAGCCAGCCAGCAAATGTGTAGAGGATGTAGGTCGGTTGGTAGAGTGCCTGCCTAGAATTCATGAGGTCCAGGGTAGCAATCCCAGCTCTGTATAAACTGGGCATAGCAACGCCCTCCTGTGATCCTAATACTCAGGAGGAGGAGGCAGGAGGATCAAGGAGTTCAAGGTTATTCCCCAACTACATGGCAAGTTCAAGGCCAGCCTGGATGACCAGAGAATCAGAGAGAGAGAGAGAGAGAGAGAGAGAGAGAGAGAGAGAGAGATGTGTACAGACCCTGTGATCATCAGGGGCTTGGTCCATGAATCTTCTCAGCTCTAAGCTTGTTTATCTTCCTAGAAGAAAGGATCCAAGGACCTCACCAGGACAATGGGGGAAAAGAGGAATAGGCTGGGAGGGCTGTGTCCCTGCTGACACCAACTCCAGGCTTCCCCTGACTCCCTGACCCTGACCCCCAGCGTCTAACAGCCTCCTGCTCTGTTCTACTGTCAAACCTGGGAGCCCTTTTGTGTCCAAGGGGGCTCTAGAAACCGAAAGGCAGGCTGGGAAAATGTCTAAGAGCAGAGATTGTCCACCTTGGGTATCAGGACCTTGGACAGGTCTGGGGAAATCCCTCCCTCTCCCTAAGTGTGTGTCTGCGGGCTGTCAGAGGTCCACATGCAGAATTGCTTTCTTCCCCAGTGTGAGATCCTGGAATTAAACTCAGCTCCCAAGGCTTGGCAGCTTGTTCCTTTACCCACTGAGCCATCTCCACCCACCTCACCCTCCACTGCTCATTTTGGGACCGATTTTCATGGCTTCAAACTCGATGTGTAGTGGAGGACGACTTTGAACTCCTGACTTCTGGGATCTAAGGTGCAGGCCACCATGCTCACCATCTTAGGTCTTTAGTAGTATGTGGGAAGTCACTCTATTGTTAGACCCCCCCAATCCCATGCCCTCAGGCACCAGTTCCTTAGGGCAGTGCTCAAGCACCCCCATTCGGCTCCACAGGAAAGTATGGGGGAGGCCAGTGTGGACGGCCATGCCTGCCTCACCACGGTTTCCTCTCGCCACAGGCCTACCCGGCTCAGCTCTCAATGCGGTCGTGAATGGGACTTCACCTTCGCCCCTCGGATCCCACCAGGATCAACTCTGAGTTTCCCGGTGCCTTTCAGAGTCTTCCTTCTACCCACAAGCCTCCTGCGCCTCAGCGCTTACTCATTTTCCTGTTTCCTAGCCTGCCTTCCTACAGTCCCCGACCTAGCAAGCCCTTCCTCTTTGCCCATCCCCAGAGGACACTTTGGTGACGTATCATCGTTCTCTATTTCCTGCTGGGGTCCTAGCAGACGCCAGCACTGCAAGTTGCATCTTCCCAACTCGGTGTCTTTTTCTTAGTGCTCTCCTGTGTTGTTTCCCGAGTCTTCTAGAACGTTCCATCTTACTGGTCCTCCATGTACCAATGGGCCCATGCTTACTCCTAAGGCCTCTCAGTAAGTGTGACACCTTTGGAGTCTTCATCTCCTCCATAAACACCGCCTTCACCAGTTCTCTCTGTGCCCCTGTCCTCGTGTTCGGATTGCTTGCGCACACACTACCATTGACGTTAGTCCCACCTCTTATCCTACTTCTTATCCTTCCTTGACGCTCCTCCTCTCAAGTTCTTTTGCGTTTGCTTCGCCTGCCACAAAGCAAACCCGGACCTCTGTCCTTGTGAACCACTTCCTGTGATGTCCCCCTGAGCCTCCAGAGAGGGGGCTCAGGGGGCCCGATGGCCTCCCGCCCCCCGTGGCCCTGTAGCCCCAGCGGGCCAGGGGAAGAGCCCAGGAAGCCCCAGGGGCCAGGATGGGCAACCGCACGTGGGAGGGCTGCCATGTGGACTCACGAGTGGACCCCCTCTTCCCGCCGTCCCTTTACATCTTCGTCATCGGGGTGGGGCTGCCCACCAACTGCCTGGCCTTGTGGGCTGCCTACCGCCAGGTGCGCCAGCGCAATGAGTTGGGCGTCTACCTGATGAACCTGAGCATCGCCGACCTGCTGTACATCTGCACGCTGCCGCTGTGGGTCGACTACTTCCTCCACCACGACAACTGGATCCACGGCCCCGGCTCCTGCAAACTCTTCGGCTTCATCTTCTACAGCAACATCTACATCAGCATCGCCTTCCTCTGCTGCATCTCCGTGGACCGCTACCTGGCCGTGGCCCACCCTTTGCGTTTCGCGCGCCTGCGCCGGGTCAAGACAGCGGTGGCTGTGAGCTCGGTGGTCTGGGCCACTGAGCTGGGGGCCAACTCGGCACCGCTCTTCCATGACGAGCTCTTTCGCGATCGCTACAACCACACCTTCTGCTTCGAGAAGTTCCCCATGGAGAGCTGGGTGGCCTGGATGAATCTGTACCGCGTCTTCGTGGGCTTCCTCTTCCCCTGGGCACTCATGTTGCTGTGCTACCGAGGCATCTTGCGGGCCGTGCAGAGCAGTGTGTCCACAGAGCGCCAGGAGAAGGTGAAGATCAAGCGCCTGGCGCTGAGCCTCATTGCCATCGTGTTGGTATGCTTTGCACCGTACCACGCTCTCCTGCTGTCTCGAAGCGCCGTCTACCTGGGCCGGCCCTGGGACTGTGGCTTTGAGGAGCGAGTCTTCTCCGCCTACCACAGCTCCCTAGCCTTCACCAGCCTCAACTGTGTGGCCGACCCCATCCTCTACTGCCTGGTAAACGAAGGAGCTCGCAGTGACGTGTTCAAGGCCCTGCACAACCTCCTCCGCTTCCTGGCCAGCGACAAGCCCCAGGAGATGGCCAATGTTTCCCTCACCCTGGAGACACCCTTGACCTCCAAGAGGAGCACCACCGGCAAGACCTCCGGGGCTGTCTGGGCAGTCCCTCCGACCGCCCAAGGGGATCAGGTGCCGCTGAAGGTGCTGCCGCCACCATCACAGTGAGCGGGGCCCATAAGCGATTCTCATGCTCCGCCCCTCTCTGCTGTTTGCAAACGTATGTAAATATGGCCTGTGAATATTCGTAAGAATACAAGGGATAAAAAGAAAAATGAGGTTTTTGTCTTTCTCTCTCTCAGCCATCTTCCACTATGACCCACAATGATTCTCTTTAACTGGCAGGGCCCTGATAGGGAATCGATTGACAGAGCCAGGAGTCATCAGTGGGCTCTCAGAAGGAAGTCAGTCGTGGAGAGTTTAGCGTGAGGTGGTAATTAAGCCAACTGTTTCTAATTGATAAAGACAGAAGAGCCTGGCCTGATGGTGCAGGCTTACAATCCCAGGTATCAGGGAGGCTGAGGAAAGAGGATTTGGAAACTCAAGACTTACTTGGACCACAAAGTGAGACCCTGTCTCAAAATATTAAGCATGACAACGCCTGGGAATTTAGTCTAGCAGTTAAGTGTCTAGCTAAAATCCCTGGAGAGAGCCCCTGCCTAGAATCCCCCAGTGAGGGGCTGGGGGCGTGGCTCAGTGGTAGAGCCCCTGCCTAGAATCCCCCAGTGAGGGGCTGGGGTGTGGCTCAGTGGTGGAGCCCCTGCCTAGAATCCCCCAGTGAGGGGCTGGGGCGTGGCTCAGTGGTAGAGCCCCTGCCTAGAATCCCCCAGTGAGGGGCTGGGGGCGTGGCTCAGTGGTAGAGCCCCTGCCTAGAATCCCCCAGTGAGGGGCTGGGGCGTGGCTCAGTGGTAGAGCCCCTGCCTAGAATCCCCCAGTGAGGGGCTGGGGCGTGGCTCAGTGGTAGAGCCCCGGCATGAGCCGGTGATAACAATTCTTTCTGTTTTTGTGTTTTGGAAAGAGTATGGCTATTTATCCCGGTCTGGCTTTGAGCTCATGGTCCTCCTTCCTCAGCTTCCCAAGTGGAGCCTGCTGTGGAGCAGAGTTTCTGAGATTCTACATGAACAACATTCTCTCAGTCTGGTATGGTGCAGGAAGACGGGGCTGTCAAAAGCAGACGGGAGCCAACACAGGCAGAATGCCCGGAAGAGTAGGAGTAAGCAGGGGTTCAGGCTGAGAAGGGCACCCACCCACCCATATGCATCGATCCATCCATCACTCCTGCCTCAGAGACTATGCCTGGACTGTGGCAACCAGATCCTGCTCTCGATGGTTTAGCATTGCCAAGTAAAAAGTGAACATAGCAATCTACATTTATTTACTTGTTGTTGGGTAGGGTCCTGCCACACTTCTGTGGCAGTCAGAGGACAACTTGTAAGAGTCGGTTTTCTCCTTCCCCCATGCGGGACCCAGGAAATTGAGCTCAGGTCACCGGGCCTGGATAAGAGCCCTTACCTGCTCAGCCATCTTGCTGGCCCCTCCTTTCCACCTTATTTATTTTGGTACTAGGGCTCCTCCCATTAAGTGCTCCTTGGCTGAGCCACCCACGTACCCCCTGTTAGGAACTAGCAGCCAGCTGACCCCGCCCGACGATGGGCGGGACGCTCATGGCCGTGTCATCGCTACGTCAGCCTTACCTGGCGGCTCAAGCTTTACCTGGCTGCCAGAGGACTCGGTTGCACATACAACACCCCCCATTCCTCTTAGTCTTGATAAGATGCCCACGTTGGCCTTGAACACCTGATCTCCCTGCCTCCGTTTCTTCAATAGCTGACATACACCAGGACCAAGTTGTTTTGTTTTGATTTTTGCTTTTTTAGACAAATCTCACTGTGTAACCCTGGCTGGCCTGGAACTTCCTATGTAGACTGGCCTAGAACTCACTGAGATCCCTCAGCCTTAGCCTCTGCCTCTGCCTCCTGAGTGCTGGGATTAAAGATGTGCGCCACCACACCATTGGGACCAGTTTTTAGGATGTGTTTCGAAGGAGGACATTGTGAAAGAAACACTAGGGTCTAAAGGATTGTGTAACTTGAGCCCCTGGCCCATTCTGGGAAAAGGGCGCCCAAGGGGCCTGGGCGGAAAGGGCCTCTGGGAACCAGCCCAGGCCCTGGTCCAGGACAGTCACTCAAGAGGCTGCAGGGCAAAGGGTGGAAGGTCTACGGTGAGTCAGTGCTGGCTGGCGCCACCCTGGGCTCCCTGTTTCTCCCATGTCTGTGTCTATTCCCACGCCCCAGGGTGGCCAGGGCTGCCGGACTTAACTTATGGTGTCCCTTCCTCTTTGTGGCTTAATGGGTCATCCAGATGGCTCTGGCCTTTCCTTCACCAAGCAGGAGGAGGAAAGGAAGTACCCAGATCTGACTAGCATGGCCCGCCCCCAGGAGCTGCCTCTCCCTGTGATGTGGAAACCGGCCCCTGAGATGGGAAGGAGATGGAGGTCTCTCTGCATGGTGGCACAGGTCTGTATTCCCAGGACTCTCCAGGCCAGCGCAAGAGGATTGTAATTTAAGACCAGACTAGGCTATTTCACAAGACTGTTTTGTTGTTGTGTTTTGTTTTTCAAGACGTTGTTTCTCTGTGGCTTTGGAGCCTGTCCTGGAACTCACTCTGTAGACCAGACTGCTCTCCCACTCACAGAGATCCGCCTGCCTCTGCCTCCGGAGTGCTGGGATTAAAGGCGTGCGCCACTACTGCCTGGCCTGGTGGACACTGTCATCTCAACAAGAGAAGACAGAACAAAGAGTATTGAACACATACTCTGTCCTGGAAGCTGTTCTGAAAGCTAAGAACATGGCCAGAAAAGAATTACATTCACATCTAGAAGTGTGCTAAAACCTCCTTGGGGGTCTTAGACTCCCTGGTAGGCCCTTTGGCCACCACGGATTAGAAGATGGGCCTGAGTCAAGATGTAGTGTCACAAGCCTCTAGTCCTGGCACTCAGGGGGCAGAGATTGGAGGATCGCTGAGTTCGAGGCCAACCTGGTCTACAGAGTGAGTTCCAGGACAGCCAGAGCTACACAGAGAAACCCTGTTTCAAAATACAAAACAAAACAAAACAAAAACAATACAAAAAGATGACCCTGGGCTGGAACTCAAGAAACCCCAGTGTCATCACCCCGATTACCTATGGGAGCTTGGGCCTCAGTTGGGAAGTCAGTAGAATGGGAAGAGGGGGCTCTGGAGCAAGTACTGCTCTCCCAGAGGACCCCATGTCTATTCAGAGAGCTACATCAGGTGGTTCAGACACCTCTAATCAAGTTCCAGGGGCTCCCAGTGCCCTCTAGTGTCATCCATGGGCACTGCACTCGTTTGGGGACACACACACACACACACTGCACTCGTTTGGGGACACATACACACACACACACTGCACTCATGTGCATATACCTACACACACACACACAAATACACAAAAATATTAAAATACACATCCAACTGGAAGAATTGCTTTTCTGTAAAGTATTGTTTATTTATTTATTTCAGTTTTTCGAGACAGGATTTCTCTGCGGCTTTGGAGCCTGTTCTGGAACTCGATCTGTGGATCAGGCTGGCCTTGAACCCACAGAGATCCACCTGACTCTCCCTCCCACGTGCTGGGATTAAAGGCGTGAACCACCAACCCCCTGGAAGAGTTGCTTTTCAAGATTCTGGACATGTCTTCATAATTTAGACATCTAGGTCAAACATGCTGTCCCCCTGTGATGACTATTCTGAGTTGTCAACTATAATTGGGATGCACTAGAATCCAGAAGTGGAGGGCACACTTGTCATCTGGATCTCGAGGCAAGGAGAGAACATGTCTTTCATCTGAATCTTGAGGCTGGAAGACACAGGTCTTTAATCCAGACCTTTAATCTAGGCCAAACCTTCTTCTGGGAGCCTATATAAGGACAATGGAGGAAGGAGGGTTCATTCCTGGCCTGCTGGCCCTCACCTCATCAGCCCATCCAGTCCTTCAGACCAGCCGAGACACCTAGCTTTGTGGGACTGAGCAGCCACTAGATTCTTGGACTTTCCATTCATAACTAGCCATTGTTGAATGACTTTCCATTCATAACTAGCCATTGTTGAATGACTTTCCATTCATAACTAGCCATTGTTGAATTGCAGCCTGCAACCTGCAAGTCATTCCAATAAATACCCATATATAGTCATTCCCTAAGTTCTGTGACACTATGAATGATGTACCCCATTTTTTTTCTGTCCAGTGTTGGGCATCCAACCCAGGGTTCTGCAAGAGCTAGGCAAGCACTTTTCAGAACACAGATACACCCCAGCCCATTTGACATACATCTTATTTTATTTTTGTACATTTTTATTTTGAGTCAGGACTCACTGAGTTCACAGCCTGACCTTGAATTAAGTATGTGGTCCAGGCTGACCTAGAACATTCTATGCTCCTGCTTCAGCCTCCTGAGTGCTGTGCTGACAGTGTGTGACACTAGACTCAGCTGTAGTCAATACAGACAAAGCACTGGTCCCCTGGTGTGGGAGCTGACCAAAGACACCGAGCTTTCCTGGCTATGTGTCCCCAGGGTTTCCCTCTTGCTAGCCACCACCCCTCTGCTCTTATGCCTTCCTGTCCCTTCTAGTCCCCAAATACCCATCCTCACGCCATCATCCAGGAATTTCTCTCAACTCAGTCCTGACTTTGTTTATATGATTTTGCTCCCTGCTGCTTAAGGGAGGACAGTTTGGGACTTGTCCTTAAAGTTCCTTCCTGCGCCAGCTCCCTGGGGATGCTCACCCTCCACAGGAGGAAGTGCGGCTGCTTGAGAACCAATGCTATCAGCCAGTGTTGCAGGCCCTGTGTCACCGGGCTTTTGGGTAGTTGCTTGGGGATAGGATGGATTTGCTACAGAGCACATTTAGACTGGAATTAAGAGAATAATACTAATCTATGCATGGTAGTGAGGGTTTTTATGGGACTTGCACTATGCCAACATGTCAGCATGCTTTACACTCAGAATTCACACACAAAGCTGGGGATACAGCTTACCGTTAGAGCCCTAGCCCAGAACCACCCAGTGACAGGTTTGAGGTGTGGCTCAGGTGTACAATCCTAGCCTAGAATCCTCCCCGCCCCGGTGAGGAGCTGGAGTCCTGCTCAGTGTTGGAAACAGTGGCCTTAGCATGGGGAATGTCTTGGGGGGTCCATCCTCAACCATGAAACATAAATTAACAAAAATCAGAGACAAGACAATGGAGGATCGGTAATTCCAAGGCCAGCCTCGGCTGCACGGTGCGTTCGGTGCCAGGCTGGGCTATCTGAGACCTTGCTTTATTTTCTTTATGTTTTTAGCTTATTTTCATTTTATGTTAATTCATTTTATGTTAATTCAGGGCCTGCATGAGTGGGCGTGCGCTGCCACGTGGGTGCTGGGAATTGAACCCGGATCCTCTGGAGGGGCAGTCAGTACTCATGACCATTGAGCCATCGCTCCAGCCCCTGAGACCCCGCGCTTTAAAATAAAAAATAAAAGAATAGGTGAGAACAATTTTAAAAATTAGAATGGGTTCCCGAGGGGTTGAGTGAGGTCTGTGTGACCACGCGGTGAGTCCCCGCACCCCCCGGCGAGCGCACGCGGGGACTCACCAGCCTTAAACGGGACTGCAACCAGGCGGCGCCTCCTATGGGCAGGGAAGCCGACTCCGTGCGTGACACCACGCACGAGCGTGGTGACGTCACTGCGTCGGGAACCAGGGCTCAGGCCGCGCTCCTGCGAGCGGCCGTTTAACGGCACCGCCCTCTGACGCCTCACTTCCGCCTCGTATTTGCATACCCGGGGCGTCGGCGCGGTGACGTCACGGGGAAGCTCACGTTCCCCCGCCCACCCCCGCCGCGAGCGGGCAGGCGCGCGCTCGCACGCAGGTACCGAGGCAAGTCCCTCCTTACGCACGCACGCACGCACGCACGCACGGCGGGCGGAGGAGACGCGAGGCGACGTCAGCGGCGCCCCGCCCAGTCAGCCAGGTTGCGCGTGCCCAGGGCGACCGCCAAGATGGTGGTGGGCGCGTTCCCCATGGCGAAGCTGTTCTACCTGGGCATCCGGCAGGTCAGCAAGCCGCTGGCCAACCGCATCAAGGAGGCCGCCCGCCGCAGCGAGTTCTTCAAGACCTACATCTGCCTGCCCCCGGCCCAGCGTGAGTCTGGCCCCGCGGCCCCCGGCCCTTCCATCCCCGACCCCTCTCAGGTGGTTGCTCGGGGGCAAGGATGGCTTCGGGACCTGGCCAATCCCGGCGCGAACCGGCAAAGCCCTGGGGCCAATGGGGATGGCTCCTGCTAGAGGGGCGTGACACTTGTCCAATAGCGGAGAAGGGCGTGCGGTCAGGGGCGTCGCCGCGCGTGTTTGGAACGCAGGCCAATAAGGGAAGAGGGCTTGTGGCGGTTGACGTCTACGACGGCCAATAGGGTGCGGGAGCAAAGCCGTGGGGGCGGGACTTACCTGTCAGAAGTTAGGGGCGGGACTCATCAGCCCACTAGGACCCCTTGCCTAGCCGTCCTTCACGCCATGGACTCTGTGCTGCTCCTCAGTTTCCCTGCTGCCCTGTGGCTGCTTGCCTATCACCCTGGGTCCAGAGCACGGCGCTTATGGCATAGTTTGACTCTGGTCTGGAGGCGGAGTCTGGGGCCCTGGGGAGCCCTGGGACCTGGCAAAAGGATGAACCCGCAATGGACAGCCTCATGCCATCCATTCCTTCGGTGGCCGCACCGTGCAGGCCCCTTGCGCTGGCACTGGTAGATACGGTCCTAATATGGCAGTGTTATCTCAGAACGGTCAGGCACCGTGAGCAGTCCCTGGGTGAACCCTGAGAGCCTCCAGAGTAGAGACCTCACTGGCATCGCCAACGCACCAAATACGAGCTCCCGGAAAAGCCTGGTCTGTCTCTGTGGAGCAGAGATGACGTTTTGTAACTTGCTGAGTTGGGAACTACATACATTTCATCCATTGCCCCGTGTAAATATATATATATATATATATATTGAGGTGGGCGTCTGTTTTGTGCGAGGCCTGAGCTGACCCTGCTTATGAAACAACAGGGTCTATACCAGTACCTGTTTGTCACCCGAAGACCCAGGGTGGGACAGTCTAGATGGGATGGCAGAGCCCGCTAGACACTTGACCTGGTAGGGAGTAGGGAGAGCGCTTCCTGGCAGGTGGGGGGACCTTAGGAGTGAGGAGATCACTGAAGGACAGGGACAGAGTTGGGTCCAAGGGAAGGAACATGTACAAAGGCCAGATAGCTGGGGGAGGGGGCGTCTTTTTTCCCACCCCCTAGGTGTCTGACAGTCCCTTTGGTATTTGGTGAAGCTTCCGCCTGGGCCGCAGCTCTCACAGTGGAAACGTGTTGGATGTTGGAGCCGGGTGGGGTGGTGCACACTCACGCCCCGGTATTTGGGAGATTGAGGCAGTAGCAACAGGTCAGGGCCAGCTTCAGATTCCTTAGTGAGTTCAGCCTGGGCCACACGAGACCTTGTCTCACAAATGAAGCAGCTGGTGTCATATGCTTGCAGTCTCAGCAGAGGCGGGAGAGTGGCTGCAACTTAGAGCTATCCTCACTTACGTTCAGTTCCAAGATTCCCAGTTCACTAACTGGGTGACAGTAGGAAGTTTACTGAGGCCCCAGGGGCAGGGATGATGGCTTCGCTCGCACTCTGTGGTGACACTCCGTCACCATGGAGGCTGTGCCAGAGCCTGGAGGTGAACTCTGCACTCCCGGGCTTCTCTCCGCTCCCAGCACTGGGGCTGCCCTTAGCTTTATAGTTTACAGAACAGCTTGGCCCCACCCACCCCTTAAGCTGATGATGTGAACAGATCACTCAATCCCTCCAAGCCTCTGTTTCTAATTCCCTACAAGGGACACTATGAAACAGTAGCTCTTGGTGGCTGTTACTGTGTTCCAGGGTGTATTCTTCCGCCCTTACGGCACTGAACCTCACCAGGGTGTATTCTTCCGCCCTTACAGCACTGAACCTCACCAGGGTGTATTCTTCCGCCCTTACAGCACTGAACCCTCATCAGTTACTGTCTGTAGTGTTACCTTTCCCACTTTATGTATGCCCTGCGTGCGTTTATACTCCATGCAGTGCTGTGCGGAGTATGGAGATATAAAGGAATTCAGGTCTCAGCCAGGCAGCGGTGGCGCACACCTTTGATCCCAGCCCACAGGAGGCAGAGGCAGGAGGGTTTCTGTGAGTTTAAGGCCAGCCAGGGCAACACAGAGAAACTCTGTCTTGAAAAGTCAAAAAAAAAAAAAAAAAAAAAAAAAAAAAAAAAAGGAAAGGAAAGGAAAGGAAAGAAAAAAGAAATCCAGGTCTCTGGGGACTTCCATTCTATGTGGGAAGCTGCATCATGACCTCAGATAGGAAGCCTGGCCAGCCATGGGGACACATGCCTCTAGATACCTCTAGTTCCAGCAGTTGGGAAGCTGAGGCAGGAGGAATGCCTTGATTTTGAGGCCAACCTGATTCATGGTGAGTTCCAGCCAGCCTAGGCTATAACATAAACCCCTGTCTCAAAAATCAAAATATAAAATAGAGCCTGTTAGGTGGCACTGACTGCTGTGGAAGACAACAAATGAGGTTCAAGGCCAGACACGTTAGGAAGAAGGCTTTGTCTGGTCGTAGTACCCTGGAGGAGAGGGAAGGGCACCTGAGCTTGAGGCCTGAGGTCGCATGCATCTGGCACATTTGATGGAGGAAACCAATGGCGTGGGAGAGAGACAGGCAGTTGACCCTGACACTGAAAACACCTTGGCTTTACACCGTGGGGCTCTGGTCCTTGAGGGGGCAGGATCTGAGTGTGTGCGGTGAGAGCGTTGAGTGTGTACGAGAGAGTGGGGGGGCATTGAGCATGGGACACACACACCGTCCTGTGTGAGCCAGGTAAGAACTGCATCACTGAGCCACACCTCAGCCTCAACTTACCGTTTATTCTTTTTCTTTTTCTTTTTTCGTGACTGAGTCTCAAATCTGCCATGTCCTGGAGGGTGACACCACACTTCAGAACTGTCTCCTACTACCTAGTCCAGATCTACAGGCATGTCTGTCTGTCTGTCTGTCTGTCTGTCTGTCTCTCTCTCTCTCTCTCTCTCTCTCTCTCTCGATCTGAAGCTTTTGTTTGTTTGTTTTCCATTTTTCAAGGCAGGGTTACTCTGTGCAGCTTGGCTGTCCTGGAACTCACAGAGATCGACCTGTTTCTGCCTCCTGAGTGCTGGGATTCACGATGTGCATCACCACTGCCCGGCCAGTCTCGAGTTTTATAGATTTGTATTTTATTGTATGATTTTGATAATTCCACACACATGTATACTTTGTGTCACCTACTATCCTCTCTTGTGCTACCCCACTGGCCCTCTAATTTCATGACTTCTCCCCCCACCCCCACTCCCCCCAGACGGGGTCTCACAGTGCAGTCCTGGCTGGTCTGGAACTGGCTCTGTAGACCATGCTGGCCTCAAATTCGCACAGGTCTGTCTTCCTCTGCAGTTCTGGCATTAAGGATGGCTCTTTATTACTGTTATTTTAAATGTGTTGAGTTGCTTGACTGCATGGGTGGGGTTACTTTTGTCTGACCATGGGGACCCTGTCAGTGAAGACTCTGTCCCCTTCCTCCAGCAGCTGCTAACTGCAGTAGTTCCTCAGGGCAGTCCTGGGTTATATTTTAATAGATCTTTGGTAATTGTTGGCTGAGGGTGGCTACAGGGAGGAGGCAGCTTCTCTAGTCCAGTTGGGTACCCTGTGATCTGCAGCATGACTTGGCACTGAAAACAGTTTGCCAGCCAAGTCTGTAATGCCAGTTACTCAGGAGGCTGAGGCAGGAGAATTTAAGGTTCAGGACCAGCCTGGGGAATAGAGTGAGTTCACAGGAAGCATCTTTTGAGACCCCGTTTCAAAGTAATGAGTGAAAAAAGAGCTGGAGAGGCATCACAGTAGAGCCCTTTTTATAGTCAGCGGCGGGGCCAGGCGTCCTGACTAATGCTTGCCACGCCCGCACTGAGAAGGTGGAGGAGGAGGGGAGGTTCACGAGTTCCAGGTCACCTGCAGTTACATCTCCAGTTTGAGGCCAGCCTGGGCTACCTGAGGGTCTGGTGACCCTGCTCTCCACCGTCTTATCTGCCCACCCCTTTTTTCATGACACTGATATTGGGTCCCCGTGTTCCAGTATGAGACCTGCAGTCTGGAGCTTTCCCCAACTGAATTTGAGTCCTGTGTGTATGGCAGGGACCCCACTGAATCGAAGGGAGGAAGGAAGAGGGAAGGACATGGCTGCTCCTAGGTATGGTGGAGGAGAAGGTTTATTGTAGATATGAGGGAGAGCACAGACAGAGGCAGGGACATCTGGGAGAGTCCAGAGTGGACATGACCTTGAGCCGTGTGAGGACACGGGCGTCCAGATGCATCAGCCAGGAGGCCCAAAAGAGTAGATAAAGGGACCAGGTGACCAAATGGCTGCATTATAGAGGGAATATTAGCTGGGGGAAGGCAGCCAGCCCCTGGGCTGGAGAGGGTTAGGGTTCTGCCAGCCAGAAAGGGCCTTGTAACAAACAGGTAGGGACTGAAGGATCCCAGGAGACCCTGGTGGCCCCATCCCTTTGTTTTAAGTAAGGGTGTGTGAACACATATTTTGTTGTTTAATTTTGCTTTTATGTGTATTGGTGTTTTGCCATGGATGCCCCTGGAACTGGAATTACAGACAGTTGTGAGCTGCAGAGTGGGTGCTGGGAATTGAACCCAGGTCCTCTAGAAGAGCAGCCAGTGCTCTTAACCACTGAGCCATTGCTCTGCGCCCCCCCCCAAATGTTATAGGCACCTCAGCCATTTGTCCCAGGTTTGGAACCTAACACCCACAAAGTATGGTGTGTCCATATCTATCTGGGGAAGGTTTAGGACACACCATACTTTGTGGGTGTGTGCTTGTGTGGACCTGTTCTTGGTGTCTGTCTGTCCCTCCACTTGGGATGATGTCTTGAGTCCAATGGTTATCGTGTCACCTGTGAGAGGAACGCGTCGTTCCCTCTCAGTGGAGACTGATCTGAAAACTTGCTTGAAGGTAGAGCTGGCAGGAGTCAGGTAGGGGAGGGAAGACGGCAGAGAGAGCCCCACCCACCAGGGTCCTGTTCTCTGTGATTCCTTCCTTCCT